TTCTCTCTTCCTTAGTGTGGCCTATACCACTTATCTTCCCCTTCAACCAACTAATTCTCGATTCTCTAATCCTCAGATTATTATTTGTTCCAGGAAACCTCCCCTGACCCAGCACTCCCCACCTTGGTTGTCTGTTATTTCTCTGCAAAGTCTATCATTCTGCCATCCTTACATTTAATTTCACTGCTTTATGTTCTGTTTACAGGTCTGTTTCCTAAATGAAGACAGAAACCATGTCTTTGTCATTTTCTGTTGTCTATGATTGGTCCAGTCTGGCTGATAGAAGGTGCTCAGAGTAAAATGAATGGGCACTAATGTTCAGCTGCTCTCTGAGCGACTTAAGAAAATAAGAAAAATTTTAGACTTGAAAGTGAAAAAAATGTATGGAATTAATGATATCTAAACACTCAAGGTAAACAAAAATTAAAAAGTATTTCACGTGGTTGCATGCTCTCCTGTGCACTGGGGTACTTATTTCACTCTGCCTTGTATAAAGATTGGATATTTGTGTAACCTAGATGGCTTTACCACTTTGACTACCACCACAAGTTTCTCCATCACCAATTTTACCCCCTCCACAACCTCTTTCACCCTTCTTTCAATTTCTCCAACACTTCCAGTATACTGTCCACCTCCACCAATGTCGCTGCCTCCTCCCTCATCTCTACTTCCTTTACCACTTCTATCCCTCATCTACTGCAATTACAAGAATTTCTCCTCTTCAAGAATAATCTTCCTCAAATATAATTGGGGGATATATTTGATTCCATAGTCCTTTCTACTTCTCTATTATTTCTTGCTTTCACTCCTGTTCTTATCACATTTGTTCTGTTTACACCCTACATCCCACAGGGATGCTTATATGGATCCTCTCCCGACCCCGCTATAAACCTAGCATAGAGCCTCCTACTCTCCTCATGTTTAAAAATAAATTTTTCTTGCATATTTCCTTGGCAGTTGTGGAAGTTTGGGACTGAGGTCAGAGAAGCTTCAAATAATAATAAAGTGTGTCCTCCCTGTCATCCAGCAGCAAGCACCTCTCTGTTCCACCATCATCAAACCTGTTGATACAATGGTTCTCAAATCATCCCTGGAAAGGGTCCCATCTGGTGGCCATGGAATAGAAATGTAAGCACGTTCTCCTCTTCTAGGCCTCCATATGATGTGCCAGGAAATATAGGACAAGCTCTTTCACCCACTGAAAATGACGTTAGCCGAGCTAAAACAATCTAGAAACAAGGCACAGCATAAATTGGGCATGCTGCCTGCTCCTAAGATAAAACTGGAATGTGAACTGCAGGTCTAAAAGGTCCATTCATCCCCAGATGATTGCCTTCCTTCTGTCATAGACACATGAGTATCACAGCAGGAAAAAAAAAAAAATCAGCCTTCGGTTGAATGTGTTTGGGATGATGGAGAACAACATAGTAAAAATTCAAGGTGTAATGAGACATAAACATACAATACAAAAGGAATTTACCATAAAAATCCAACTCAGCAGGCCCTCTGTCTCCGTTATGGAGACTTTGATGGAAAGGCATGGGGATTTTCAGGTGTTAAAGTGGCCACCAGAGGGAGGTAAGTTTGAAGGATGTACCAGACCTCAGATCTATGTAACCTCCCCGGAACAGACTTACACGGATCAGACAAGAAAATTCATAAATGTCACTGGAACTGCTAGTTCCAATGCCCCCAAATTGGTTCCTTCTTGTTACTGCAGTTCTGAATCTTAGCTTTTAAAAAAGATGAAGGGGGAAAAAAAAGGCATGGGTGTTTCAAACAAATATGAAAGCTTTAGGCACTAAATTTCCATATCCAAACTTAAGAACATTTATAATAATAAGCCATTTTTGGCCTTGTTCCTACATTTTGCCCTTTCATAGGACGAGATAAAGAATGAATGTAGAAAAGAAGAATTTTCTAATGTCGGAGTGGTTATCAACATATTCTAAATGGAAAGCTGAACGTTACAACTCTGCTATAGATGTGATCAAGGTCGATATAGGGGAAATTATGGTTCCTAAATTTTTGATACCAAGGAAATTCCAGGTATTCTTGATAAAAATCTCACCTGGTGACAACAACAACAACAAAAAAACCAATTTGTTTGTGTTAAGGTCTTAGTTCAAATGAAACCCTTTCTGAAAGGATGCCCCAGAACAACCACTCAAAATCACACACAGTCACCACCAACTATCATTCTCTAACTTCTTGCCCAGCTTTAGTTTGGGGATTATTTTTCTTATTTATTTTATTTTCCTTATCCATTTGTCTTACCTGCTTTCTTTTTCCATCTTTTTACCAGCCAACATAATACGTATTTGTTTATTGATGCATTGTCTCCTCCCACTGGAATATAAATACTGTGAGAACTTTGACCTCTTTGACATCTGTTTTTGTTCACTCATAGCTAGATCCCTGGTGCCTAGGACAGTGCTTGGCACAAAAATACTTGCTTAATAATCAATTAGTTAACACATATTTTAGAGAGAGAAAAATCTCTAGGCTAATTAAAGGAATAATTATGTCTGTAAATAAGCAACTATTAAGAGAAGTATAAAATTATCAGTGGAAATGGAAATATGTTTCTGCACATTTCCTGGGCTTCAGAGTTCAACCCAAATGAAGTCATGATCAGTGACTCCCATGTTTGTTTCATTCTGTTATGTTTCCAAATTGATAAAAATAAATCCTATTCTTTAGAGTCTCCTAGCCTGCTCTCCATCTTAGCTCCTTTCTTTTCTTAAAGGAAAATAAAAAAGACGGACCAAAAAAAAAAAAAAAAAAAAAAAACAGGTTGAGAAACATCAACACTAAAGTATCAGGGGAAATTTTGGCCTAATACAAGGGTCCTTACCTCTATATCCTCCCCCTTTTTTAAATTAGAAATTCATCTCCCAGATAATCAAGATGAGGCAAGGAGAGAATGGGGGGGGGGGGAATATATACTTAACAAAGGATCCCACCTTGAATTTATTAGCTTTGAAATGACCTCAATATGTAGGTCAGGAATAGAAATAATCCTTATGAGGATGGATAATTATAAGTAAAGATAATTAGATGGGAAATTATTTGTGTTAATACTTATATACATATGTGTGTGTATGTTTTTGTATGAGTGTGTGTGTGTGTGTGTGTGTAGTAAGAATATATGGTTACCTCTGTACACTTGCTCAAATATTATGTGCAGAGAAGGTACTGGCTAAGAATGTTCTGACCCTGAAGCCTGAGTGGGAGGTTTGGGTGTAGAAGTGCTTTATGTGTGATACTGAATGTATCAAAGTACAAGAAATCTAGGGAATATGGCCCCCAAAAGTAAATAATAGCCAATATTTATCAAATACTTTTTCTACATGACTTTAAAGAGTTAATTCTTTCAATTCACAACAACAAAATCTATGAGGTACTATTATCAACCCATTTTATAGATGAGAAAACTAAGGCTTAGAGAGGTTAAGTCCCTTATCCAAGATGACAGAACAAGCGGGAAGTGAAGTTGGTATTTGAACATGCATGGTCTTACTCCAGAACACATGTGCTTAGTCCCCCCCACATCTCCACACTCTGAGGAGAAGCTTTACCCATGATGGGTAGATGCACTAACTGCTGGGATCTGTCTCCACAGGCTGGGGCACATTCTAGCTATACCCAAGGGGTAGAGAAAAATCTTCATCAAAAAGGCAACCCCAGAAAGACCAGGCATTGACAATGTCCTCCATCCATCCAGATCGACAGAATGTGCTTCCTGTCCTGTGTTTCTTACCCCACTCCACACTGTCAGTTTCATGGTTGGCCTCCCCTCTGCTCTCTCCACCCTTTAGTTCAGCTGGATTTAAGGTAGAAAGAAAAGTAGGGAGATGGGGTAAGAAATAGAATTAGCAATAAGCCTTTCAAAGAGCCATAAACTACATTTCTTTTTATCTTTGAATCATCCTTGATTAACCTGAGGTTAAAAAATAAGTCGAAGAGTTGTCATTGGGATTTTAAAATTCTTTCAACACACATACACACACATTCTTTCAAAAATATATATCTATAAAATAATATGGTTTGACAAAGAACACAGTACCTGAAACTTTTATGATTTTCTTCATGTTTTCCCATTTCCATATGATAAAAAAAAAGGGAAGCATATTCCCACACTTAGTGATATATTCAGACAAGAGGGTCTTAGAAAAAATTCTAGAACTTCCTATGTTACAGCTTTATAAAGCATAGTTTTTTAAATTCATGTTCATAGAGCCATTGTCCTCAAACTATGCCCAGAGTAAGAGCAAGTGCTAGGCTTTCACCTGATTCCTTCCGACCCTTCACTTATCTAAACAAAAACAGCAACAAAAAATAGTTAGGAATCAAAATGATATGAAATTGTATCACTGAGGGCGTGGAGGGCATCCATGTCTTCCCTGAGGAATGAAGGATTTATTACCTCTTTATTACCTGAGAACACTATGGGCATTGCATTAGCCAAAGTCACCTTGCCCAAGCTGATGCACCCTTTCCAGAACAGGCCCCATGCAATGACTACTAGTTGTTGAGTAGAAAATCCCAGCTCTCTCACCCCAATCCGAGACAAGTCTACAGGGTTATCCCAGCTTGGAAACTTCTGTAACACATCTGTTCTATTGAGGTTCCCCACAGTCAGTTTCTTCCTCTGACTGATCCTCCTTTCTTCCCTTCTTTCTCTTTCTTTCTACAAGGGTTGACCCTAAGAGCATTTTTTGATTCTAGTCTCACATATTTCAGACTCTGTCTCAGAGTTGGTTTCCCAGAAACTTAGCCCACTACACTATTATGCCAAAAATTGTAACTACCCTACATTTCCCAGTGGAAAATGTTTGAAATCAGTAAGTGACCCACACTTACCATGGTCATATCAGCTGGGAGACAAATAGAGATGACATCAGTGGCTCTCTACAAATGTTAAAATACCTGCAATCCAGTACTGTCCTTTAACCTGGGATCTTTGGAATAAGCTACACATATGTAGCAATTATTACCTTCCTCTTGACTCCTTAAGGTTCTATGTGGTTTCTCTTGTGAACATCATGGTGCACAGGAGGTAGTTCTGAAGATCACACTCCCAAGTAAGGATGTAGTAGTTCCAGTTGCTGTACATTTCCAACCATCTGGCAAAATTAGGAGAAACAACTTTCAGTTAAGGAATTGCCTTGCATCCTCTAATTTTTTCACATTTCCCCCAAATTTCCAATTAACTATAGAGGTTATATCTATATAGGAGATGAGGCTGATTCTACTTTTTTCCCTCTTCCTCTTCCTCCTCCTCCTCTTCCTCTTCTCCTTTTGTTTCAATTGTTATTACAGCTTCTCATCCTCTAACCCAGAAAATAAATTTACCAGAGACTAGACAAAAAGATATATTAAATAATACAGTCTTAATACAGCAAGTGGGGAGAGTTCTTGACTTTGTTTTTATATATAAAAACTTGTGGAAATCTTTAGATAAAATTTTTAGTTTTCCAACATTCAGGTCATTTAGTTAGTTAGCTATCTAGCTTTCCCTTTACTATTAATTTGTAGTTACAGCACACTATAGTCAAAAAATAGAGTCTTACAAAGTTGATCCTTTGAAATTTGTTAAGCTTCCTATTTGACTTATACTTGCTTGAAAATCACATATTTTAGATGTTTGTTCTGTAGCTTTTCTATTTGTTTTATCAGCTTCCAAGAGGTTTTTTGTTTCTGTTTTTGTTTTAAGTTTTAACCATCATTGTTTTACCTACATTCATTCTTAGGTCAATCAGTTGTTGCCTTTTATATTTTCAGGTCTTACTGTTAAAAGCATATATGTTCCTGATTTACTATGTTATATCTTCAACATATAATGTCCCTTGTTGTCCCTTATTATGTTATTCACCTTAAATTCTATTTGATTGGTACTGAGAGTACTTACCTATGATCTCTTTACTTCTTATATGCCTGGTATATTTTTTCCATTCTTTTATTGTCAATCCTTTTGTAGCCTTGTTTTTAGATCCTTATATTATTTATATCTCAGTTCTAAAAACAGGTCTTTTGATTGGTGACACTAAGCCATGTATCTGGATTATAAATACTATTCCATTAACATGTGCTATCTTACATGGTGCCATGTCCCATGCTTTCCTTTTATTTATTTATTTCCTTTCCTTGGTTTCCTCTAAATAGTTTACATTCTGTTGGTTTCAATGTCATAATCCTATAGGTATTGTTGTGGTGGCTGCTCCAACTTCTTAACCAGTACTTATACCCATTTTTCCTAACACTATCTAACACTAGTAAGTGTCTCTGTCTTCCCCTGAATAAGAACCTGTGCCTTCTCCTCTTCTTCTGATCTCTCCACACACCAATTCCAAAATGTCTAATGAATTTCATGTTTACACATGACTTATAAAATTTTTCTTGTTCCTTTCTACTATATACATCTCAAGGTTGTCATTTCTACAAAGTCTGGCCTTAAGTGAAGCAACTCTAACATATCTAGTTATTACCTCGTCATTTCTCTCCTTCCTGGAATTATGCCTATGATAAATGCACATTTTCCATGGTCAAATCCAACTTTAGCCCAGCTACCCTGTACCCCTGAGCCCTCCAAGGGAAGTGTATACAAAAGAATGCAAAGTAATAATTTCTGAATACTTTGAGTTCCTTCTTCTTAAGCAACTCAGACCTAATTAGGCAAAGCCAAAGTAGATTGTTTGTTCTTTCTATTACCTCTGCCTAACTTGGTCCTTCATCTTACCACAGAGGGGGAAGAAAGGTCCAAAAAGGGACATGCCAGCCATCCCAGGACATAGATTGCAGAGATAATCAGACACCAATAAGTGTATAAAGCAGGCATGGCCTGGAAGGCAGCAGCCCTTGGCCCTGAGAGATGACCCCAAAGAGGGTCAACTTGCAATTCCACATACCTGGAAAAGTAGAAAGACAAAGTGGGACCAAGCCCACCCTGGTATACTCCAGGCACATGACCTGACCAGGCATAGCTTCCTATCTCAAAGGTTGAAGTATTTAAAGGTATAGCTCAAAAACTGTGTATCAGCCACCAACTATTAATGGAAAGACACTGTTCCTGTCCCCAGAGGGATCACAGACAATTGGAGAAAATAGATGTATAGAAGATCATGAGATGTATAGCATAATGAAAAATTTTGCAAAACTCACCAATTCCCAAGAACAGTCCCTGGGACTTACCATCCCAGGAGGGCAAGAGCTATTGGGCAGGCAAGAAAGGAAAAGTACTTTCTTTTCTGGACTGATTCCCTAGCATGCAAAGCATTCCAAAGGCCTCCCTTCCTGCCCCCAAATTGTCTCTTTCACTTTTTACTAATGCTCAAAATTTCTTTCAGTGCAGACAAAGCCTGTCTTTCTGCAATTAGAGAAAACAAGCTTAAAATAGAAGTGCTGTGGGATGGTTAGCAGAGGGGAAATTAGGGCGAACCCATGTGTGAATGACTAACATCACATCATCGCCAGTTTTGATAGGGGACAGAGTTTAGTCATTCATAAGGCTTAAGATCCTGGAGGCCCCAAGAATCCCCACTAAAAGAAAACTGGAACACCAAAGAATGTGCAGACATGTGTCACGATGCTGTTTGGTGCGTGCTTCTGTTGATTTCTATGTTTGGAAAAAAACAATAGAACCGGAAAAGATATTGCCCATCACCTCTCCTCAAGTCACCCCAGAAGGGACCCTACCTTGGAATCTCAATCCATAGCATCTGGGATTGTAAATTCATATTCTGAATCCCACGAATCATAAATACCTCTCACCTAGCTCTTCATTCCCAACCTCTGCCAGAATGTTTCACGTTCCAATTCCTTCCTTAGTCGACTAATTTGTTCATGTTAACTGATTCGTAGAATGGCCCTTAAAATTCCTGCAAGGTGTCTCCAAGGACAATGACCATCTCTTGTGTCTTCCCATGCCTGCAATTATCTGATAATTCCTCCATCACATTAACTTTGTCTACAACCACTATTTTGGCTCCCCTCATTTGTCCCTTTCTACAAACAATTAGATCTCCACGTGGATAGACAGTTGGGCTAGAGGGTCCTTTGGGCAGGAGGGGTGAATATGATGCCTTTTACACGCCTTCAGAGCTCCAGCCTGGTTTAATAATCCCCAAGCACCACTTTGTGTGCCGCAAGGTATAAATATATGCTAATAGGAGGTCTGGCTCCTTGTCACAACACATTGCAGGCTGCATTCGTGCAAGATAAAATAAAAAGATTAGATGCAATCTTGAAGTCAATCAGAAAGCAAGAGGAAACCAAAAAAACGGAGCTCAGATTGTCAACAAGGAGAAGCAGAAAAATGACTTGAATCGAATTGCAGTTTATCTCGTTAAGCGTTAAAGGAAACCAATTTCTCTCAGAAATTGGAAGGCAATTTAAACATTTCTACAGTTTTACTAAAGTTTGAAAATTTCCAGTGAAAGAATAAGGTTTTCTTTATTTCTGCATATCTGACATTTTCCCTGTACTTTCAGGAACTAGAAGGGCCTAGATAAGAGGGTATTTAAAGAAAGGAGAGCACAGTTATCAGGAAGTAAGAGAAGAATCTATTAAAGAAATACTTGATTTCTTCAGCCCTTTCAGATTTCATGCCAAAAGACTTAAGGAAGCTAAAACTGTGCAGGAAAAGGCCAACTACAAAATCTGGTCTGGCGTTGGTTAAATCACTAGGCCGGATTCATTGACAAACAGAAAAGTCACATTCAACTTATGAAGGTCAAATACATTATACCAGTCTCAAAGCCCAGATACATTCTATTGAAGTGGATGATGTCACAAGCCAAAGGCACTGTTCACAATGAATTTAAAGTCTTATTTGATAAGCTCACTTCCCCATTCCTAGCAACATGAACATTTTGACAGTGACCTCTGTTTCACATTTTGGTTCTTACAGCTCCCTTCCATGCTGAAAAGTATAATTCTCCCTAACCATTGTATTCAATAGAAATCACTTAACCAGGTATGGTGGCACACTCCTGTAATCCAAGAGACTAGCGAGACCATGTCTCAAAATAAAAATAAAAAGGACTGGGGGTATAAGCCAGAGGTAAATTGCCCCTGGGCTCAATCCCCAGTAACAAAAAAAACAAAACAAAACAAAAAAACCTCACTAATTAAACCTCTATCTTCAGAGTTAAGACCAAACCTTTCCAACCCTATGGTCCATCTGGCAGTGATTTGCCAAACACAAGAAGACTTCTCCTCCCATGACATCCTGGGCAATGAGGTCTCAATGTTGCCAGAAATATCAGGGTTTAAATGACACATATTCATTCATGCAGTCTGTTAGTGGAAGAGGATCAACCAGAGTGACTAAAAGGGGCTCTCATACTTTATTCAGTTTACATTTATATTGTTCATCATCTTTTACACTGGAAAAAGTCAAGCATTCTTCTGTGATTTTAGAAAAAGTACTTTAAGGTATTTTGAGATACACAACCTAAAACTTTAGATTCATGCCTCTGAAAAACCACCAACTCCAATCCCTTAGGTGAACTTCATGGGCACTGATATGTATATGGTATGAAATGGACAAAGCTCAGAATGTAATATGCTAGACTAGTAGCTTTTGTCTTTCCTCATTGTTGTCACCACTCACTCATTCAGCTTGTGAACAGTTACTGAGCACTTACCACCTCACAGACTAACAAAGAAGTAAGATGTAAAGCTAAAATTTTCCTTGCGGAAGAGAAACAACAGTAAACAGCAGCTAGGATGGCCATTTGTTTTCCATTATTATGAGACAAAATCTCAGACAAGATTCATCAGAGAGAATATTCAGAAATAAAAAAGTATCTTTCCTGGTCTCTCTCACTTCTACTGACAACTTTTCCTTTTCAATAACTTGTTATGTGCCAGGAGCAAACAATATGAAATCCATTCCTAATGAGCAATAATTATAGCTTTAAGAAGCTGTACAATCAGTGTTCAGTGATTTCATTATTAGATAGCACCATAAATTATGCTAATGCTGATAACAGTTCTGGATGAGAGAGGTCCAGATCCGGGAGATTGCACTGAAATTATTTACATCCTCTATTTCTGAAACAATAGACCTGGCAATTTGAAAATCAGATGATCCGATTTATTCTGGCAGGACACACATGTTGCG